CCTATTAAAGTTCAAAAGATGTTTGAACAAAAGATGTAACTAGGGGAAAGTGGGGCAACATGGCGAACGTTTTGAAAGCCCTGAGTTATTGCAAAACTATCAGTCATGAAGCAATAATACTTTCTCAGTATGTTTATGTTATTAAAATCCTTCATTGCCTGCATGAAGTTTCAGTTTGCAAATATAACAATTTGAAATAAATATTAAAATAAAAAGTTCATAAATTTGCCATCTGATCACGTGACCGGGGCAAGATGACTTATTATGCTATTTTTACCTCCAATTTGAAAAAATTTTAAAAACTACTAATATCTCTAAATAAAGTAACAAAAAATAAACACAAATTGCAAAAAACTACTTTTAAAGAAGTTAAACTTGAAGGACACCATCCATTATGAGAAACCGAAAGTGAGGAATTTTTTTTAAGCGAAAAAAGTATACTTATGCGTATAAAATTGCGTTAATAATATTTCAAAAAATCAATTGGTGTTTTAAAATACCAATTTATATACAATACAAGATGCAAATACAGTTTTGTTTTCACCCAATTTTAAGAATTTTTGTTACGTTGTTATATGAAAACCCATCTTGCCCCATTCGCCATGCTGCCCCGCTTTCCCCTATAATAAAGTTTTCACCGCCCCCAAAATGAGGGGGTTGTAAACTTTTCATGATTTTCATAACTTTTCATAACTTTCAAAGAATAAAAGATTATTCGATGAAAGGTCAAAACTTGTCAATGAATTTAAATTTAGTGTAAGGTAGCAGCAAATATGCTTTTTAGACTCATTGCCTTCCTTTTTTTTTTTTTTTTTGGTGTGTGTGGGGCTAGCTTTTTGGGGTATTTTTGATCCCGGGCTTCAATGACCGCAATTTTTTATACAAAACCTTATATTTTGACTTAAGCATGAACATAAAAAGTTTGGCGCATTGGAAAATCATCTATTATTTAAACAATTTCCGAAAGTATCACATATAAAAAATCCAACTGGTGCACTCTGTGCTCAAGCGGATCTTGCCACACACCTTGCTGCGCCTATGAACTGGTTAAACACACACACACACAAAAATATCTTAAATCTATAATTTACTAGGCTTAATATCCACATAAGGTATAATATCCACATAAGGCTTAATATCCACATAAATACAACGATTATATTTTTTGCCTCCTATTTCAATGGAATGTTCCCACTGTGCACTGATATTTTTTTTTTTTTTTTTTTTCCGTTCTTTTTATTACATGTAAAATAAGCATTTCATTACAATATTTCAAATACAAATATATAATAATAAATTTATATATAAATATAATGGTCGTTATTAGAAAATAAAAGAACGCGGGGACTCGTAGAAGTATGGTCTTGTCGTCGAGTACCGCTAAGAAATGTTCGTGTTAAAATTTAAAAGATAATTACAAGATTAAAAAATAAAAATAAGTTAACAAAAGTAAGAAACTTAAAATACTCCATAATAAATACAAGATGCGTTATATCTATTATATTTCTAAATTATAGTTGTTAATGATACACATATACTTTTTATAAGTTCATGTTTAAATAAATGGCAAAAATAAAGATCACAAAAAATATCAAAAGTATATTGTTAAATCATCGATTGTAAAAATTAGTTCTTTAAGTTTTTGTTTAAAAGAAAAGTAGTTACTTTGATTAATAAAATCCTCAGTAAAATTTTTTAAAACTATTTATTCCATAAGAATGGTCCGCGATAATCAATACAAAATTTAAAAAGATTTGTTTGAAAAATGGGCTGCTTAATAAAATTATTATTGCGTAAAATGTACTTATTTTTATCTTTTGATGAATACAAATTATGGAAAGAAATCGGGGATGAGTTGGTTTTACATTTAAACATAAAACAAAGAATATTAAAAATATTAATCTCATATATATTAAAAACTTTCACTTCAAATAAAAGAGGCTCGGCATGAGTATAACGGTCTTTAAAATATATAAGACGTGCTACATGCTTCTGCTGACAATAAAGAGGTTTAATTTTGTTTTTATTTGCACAACCCCAAGCAATGTTTGCATAGTTTATGTGGCAATGAATAAATGAGTGATGTAATTGTACATAGACAAATTGTTTACGATTAGTTAAATAACTTTTCAACCGTTTTAAAACATTGTCTATTATACCATAATATTCTAATTTTTTAATAAGAATTTTATGATCAATTGAATCAAACGCTTTCGCTAAATCAATAAATATTCCCAATGTAAATTTAGAATTGTTAAATGAGTCTGATATACTTCTTGTAAGCTGAATAATTGCATGTTCTGTTGAATTATTTTTTTTGTATCCATATCGGATGTTATATAATAATTTGTTTGTTAAAAGGTGATTGTATATTCTGTTGTACAAAATTCTTTCTAAAATTTTAGAAAAAACAGAGAGGATGGAAATTGGACGATAGTGTTTTACATTAGTTTTTTCTCCTTCTTTAAATATAGGAATAATTTTTGCAATCTTTAAATCATCAGGAAAAACTCCCTGATTAAAAGAGCATTTAAAAATTTGGAAAAGTATGTCTTTTAAAACGTCAAAACAGCATATAATAATATTTCCGTTGACATCATCAGGACCAACTGCTTTATTTGACTTTAACATTTTAAAAGCACTTTCAAACTCTTCAAAAGACAAATCAAAAGAATTTAGATACGAGTTTAGAGGGTCATATGTTGCTTTTATTAAATTTTTAGGGTTCGGAATTTTTTCGGCTAGGTTTGGTCCTACAGATACAAAATATTCATTAAATTCAGAAGCAATTGATTTTTGATCAAGAAGAAGATTATCATCTACTTTAATAACTGAGGGCAAAGATTGCGACATTTTTTGAGTGTTACCAGTAATTTCGTTTATTAGTTGCGAAGTGCGTTTTGAGTTTAGTTTGTATTTTTTAAGTAAATTAGTGAAATATATATTTTTTTAATTTTTCCTAGGCGTTCAAATAATCTTAAGTAATTTTTATAAATAGTCTTACTCTCAGTTGTTTTTGATTTTAAATATTTTATATAAAGTTTTTGCTTAATTTTTGAAGATTTTAGAATACCTTTAGTAATCCATGGCGATACAACTTTTTTATATTTGTAATTTACTTCTACTTTGGGAAAATTGATGTCATAAATTTCATAAAAAATTTAAAAAAAGGATTTGTATATTAATTTAATGTCTTCAGAAAAGTTTATAATGTCCCAATTAATTAACGATAGTTGATATTTAAAAGATTCCTGGTTTTTATTATGAAAAATTCGTTTTTTAGATGATTTTTTTTCATAACATATAATTTTCGCATAAATATCAATTGAAAAAAATATAATTTAACTAGAGCCTCCTTAATTGTCTTTTTTTAAAATATATATATATTTGATGTTTATATAATAAGAAATCTAATTACAAAGAAACGTCTACATACAAAAAAGTGGATTTATAAAATACAGGCAGGGGCTCAAAGAAGATACGGATGACTAAAGTTACCACAGTCTTTTCATAGAGCCCCTATTGTGGACTTTACAAGTAATATTTTATTTTAAGATTGAAAATAAAATAAAGTTTTTTGGAATCAAGCTGTTGTTACATTTATGCATAAAAATTAGGTGTTGATAAATATTGATTTCATATATATTAAGTATTTGCACGTTTTTCATCAATGGTTTTGCTTGTTCATATTTTATATATATATATATATATATATATATATATATATATATATATATATATATATATATATATATATATATATATATATATATATATATATATATATATATATATATATATATATATGTATATATATATATATATATATATATATATATATATATATATATATATATATATATATATATATATATATATATATATATATATATATATATATATATATATATATATATATATATATATATATATATATATATATATATATATATATATATATATATATATATATATATATATATATATATATATATATATATATATAAGTCTGCATGCATGTTTTTTTAGAGAAAATTATTTTTTTAACTTTTGTTGGTTGAGTACTAGTCCATGTAATATTGAAAATATTAAATGAGAAAATGTTTTAGGCTAAAATATACTAGTTTCAGACTTTCTGATGGCATATGGACAAATTCGGTATATCAAACCAATTGTTTACTAATTTTTGATTAAATATAATTTATATGGGGAAGTCATGATAAATTTTCATCAATAAGAATTCCTAATAAGATATTGTTTCCAATCATAGGTTTTATTCTAAAAGAATGAGGTGATCAACCGTATAAAGTGCTTTTGATAGGTCATTAAATAATCCTAGAGAGGAGTTATTATTTTCAAATCCTTAAGTAATTTGGTCAGCTATTTCTTTTATTGCGCATTCAGTTGAATGGTTTTTCCGAAAACTAAAGTGTTTGTGTAAGATAAATTATTATCATTAAAATGGTTATAGATTCTATTATAAATTACACGTTCAAATATTTTTGAAAATACAGAAAGTACTGATACAGGTCTATAATTAGAGATTTCATTTTAATCATTATTTTTGTAAATTGGACATACTTTTGCCAACTTTAGTGCTTCAGGAAAAATTCCTTCATTTATTGAAAGTTTTTTAATATGGAATATAGGTTTGGAGATGTAGTTTTTATTTGAAATAACTATATTAATAGAAACATCATCGAAGCCAGGTGGCTTATTCTGTTTTAAAAAAGAAAAAGCAATTTCATACTCTTTTTGAGAAAAGTCGCGATCTTGCACCATCGCACCATTTAAAGATTTAAGATATTTTTGAAAAGAATTTGGTGAGTTAAGATTTTTTTAGCGAGGTTAGGGCCAATGTTTGTAAAGTATTTATTTAACTCATTCGAGATTTGTAATGGAAAGTAAATATCTGTTTTATTGATATTTATTCTTTGAGGTAGTATAGCTGTATTTATTTTCTTTCTTCCCATTATATCGTTAATTAAATCTCATGTTTTTTTCACATCAAATTTGTTTTTGATAATTTCTTTACTATAATATTTTTTTTTAGCTTTCTTGAGAAGATTTGCGTAAAAGCGTATGTATTTTTTATAACTTTTTTCATTATCTTCAGTTATATTTTTTTTAAATTGTAAAGTTTTTGTTTATCTTTTGAACATTTTATAAGAGTTTTATCTGTCCAAGGATTTAATATAGTTTTTTTTTTTTAATTCATATAGGTACGTTTCGTTTTAAATACCAATAAATGTTTTTAAGATTTTAATTTTCTAAATGCTTTATTAGTATTATCACAATTAAAAACGTTTTAACGTCTCTTTCTTTAGTTTATCAGAAAGATTATTTTTATTAACTTCTGATTGGTTGCTTTTTTTTAGAGTTATAACTTTTGGATCGCCATTGGATGGGAAAAGATTTATTTTAAAGAATATTGGGAAGTGATCACTAATATCAGTTTTAAAAATACCTGTCTTAAATGACGTTTCTATATAATTGTTAATAAAGATATAATCGATTGCAGTTGCCGAACTTTTAATAACCCTAGTTGGTTTATTTATAACTGGTAAGACTTTATATTTAAAAAGCATGTCAAGAAAAGATTTCTTAAGTATTTGTTATGATTAGTCACTTATTACTAATAAACAATTTTTTTCTAATGAGGCTGCTGACAAAGAACATGAATGGTTAGTTTGATCAGAAGTAAATCAAAAATAGTGTATTCTTAAAAAGAAAAAAGAACAATAACGAACAAAAAGAGTGAGTGAAGTGAAGTAAAGTTTATTATTCTACTCGACAGAAAAGTGAAATTTTGCTAAAAAAAACTAGGTTTTATAAGACCTTGAAGCCATTGATGGCCGTATCCCAAATATTTTTCGGTGGGAAAGTGTTCAGGCTTTGGATTGCTTCCGCCTTTCGGTTTGCGGCCAATTTTTATCAGAAACAATTGTGAGTTCAAAATTATTTCTGATAAAAGTTCTTTGCCAGTTTACAATTTTTTACGCTAATTTCGAAACTAGTATCAGATTTTTTGTTGCACGTTTTTTTATGATGAAAGCGTATATGCTAATAATTTTCAATAATAATGTTGGCAAAGTATTACTTTGTTCAACATTTTATTGGATTTGTCTTATGTATTTAATGATAAACATTTAACATATTTCGTAGATTAAAGTGTTTGTTTGATTATTTCAGACTATTATCGCACATGTAGTAACACGCATAATTGCTACATGGCATCTTTGTGTATAACTTTCTGCATTTTGCCAGTCGCTACCGTCGTGTGAAGTGTTAGTTCTTTTGCTTGGATCAAGTAGCATGCCTCGAGGGAATTTTTATGGGGGACACATGTTGATAAGTTTTTATAAAATATTGAACTTGAAAGCTTGGCTTGCTTTTTTTTGGATGTTATTTGAAAGACAGAAACCACCAGAGGCTGTCTTTAAAATATTTTTTGATAGAGGTTATTAATGGCTCCTGTCTGATGGCAATCACCAATTGAGAGAATGAAGCCAGAATACTCAGCTGCCAAAAATAATTTTTCTGCAAAAGAAAAGGGGAAACTAAGTCGCTGTTTAATAAATATTCTCGCTGTTTAATAACTCTGCATAAAAAAGTAGTCAGAGGATTTAAAATTTTAAGAAAAAAAGTTATTACGTTTGGTAAGAATGTTGAAATCTTTGCGAACAAGATAAAAGCCATCGACACTAAAATTGAAAGATTTAAAAATAGCTTCATTCTTGCTACCTTACCTAAAGTCGTTGTATCTTACCAAAAGCTCTCTACGCCAGTCTATTAGATGGAAAAGAGGCGCGACACTGCAAACAAATATAGACGCTGACAAAAAAAAAAAAATCTGTAAAGTCTTTTCCAAGAGCAAGTTTAATTGACAGTAGGATACGTGGCAAGTTATACTGGGTCACATGTTACCATTAACAGAATATTCATGATTCTGATCTAAACTTACAGAAATGATATAAATGCGCAACACTATGTGTTTAAACCAATATAAAATAAAATAAAAAAGAATAAAAACAAAGTAATAGAAATTCTCTCCTCAGTTTATTCGTATTCGTGAAGGGATTAACTTTTATCAAAAAGCTAGGATCTGGAAATTTAAGCTTCCTAGACACCTATCAAAAAGACATGTAAAAACCAAATATAAAAACCCCATTTTGTTACAAAATTTATAAAGTATTTTCTTATTCAAAAATTCCATATAAATAAATTATATTTAACAAAAGATATACACATACATAACATATAATATTTTATATTAATATTAATATAGAAAATATAAAATATCATTTTAATCAGAAATTTTACAAATTGTTGCATACGGATCACATCCAGTGTATACTTTAAATCTCGGATCGTTAAGGTACTTTTCATTCACGCATGCACATCTATAACTTGTTTGTCCTGGTTTAAAAAATTGTCGAGGAAAGCCTATCCAATCACGTGATATGCCACCACTATATTTAAAGTAAACAATTAAAATTCAAATCCATTAAAAAAGAATTTATTTATTCATTTAAGCATCCATTCGTTGATTAAAGCTAAGAAAATTTAAAAAAAAAAAGATTAACTCGTTTTTAAATCGTATTGACTGAATTTTTTTATTTTAAGAAGTTCTTTTATTTTAAGAAGTTCTTTTATTCTCTACAAAAAAACGAAACTAAATGGGTTTTTTTGTAATTAAATTGTTTATTGCGCCATTTGTTTTATTATAAAAATCGCACGTACTGTTTTTTATAAAATTTTTATAAAAGTATTAAAAGTTATTTTTAAAAATATTTAATTTTTAAAATTAATATGAATAATTTTAAAAATAAAATAATAACCCCATCTTAATAAAGCCCTAAAACTTGGAAAAAAATTACCCAGGAAAATGTTTACAATGCAATGCAGATTTTTTTATTTAATAGTGGGTAGCCTAACACCCCGAAGAGCAGACAGAGGATGACAAAACTTTTTCCAACCGATGCATACAAATGCTTTTAATGCAGGTAGACTGCGAAGAAAGAATGGGTACCTGAAAAACACTTGTTCAGTATATATTATATTTTAAATTTTGGAGTTAACCCACCTGTAGTGAATGCTGACCGAATGCCTCTCCACCAGATCGAAAGTTCTACCCAAAAGATCTTGAACTTTACTGGTTTGGACACACATATGTCAAAGCAAATTGTTAATCTTTCAAGAGAACAAAATGGTGTTCTGCTTGCAGTGACCTTAAAGTCTCATCAATTTTGCAGTGATCTTAAAGTCTCATCAAGTTTGCAGTGTCTCATCAAGTTTGCAGTGATCATAAAGTCTCATTAAGTTTGCAGTGACCTTAAAATCTCCTTAAACCAGAATTTTTGTTAATTATGTTTGAGCTAAGCTTAGTCCTCCTCCTAATGTTTCAAGAGGCGCCTAAAGCTTTCTGTTATTTGGAAAATTGATTCATTCATTATATAATTCATTACATACCATAAAGAGGTATATTAAAAATATGGTAAACAACAACCTTGATTAGATGCTGGTGATTTGGAGTTAGAGTAATTTTACATAAAATCACTCAAATTATAGGAAATTTTTGTTTTTATATGCAATTTAAATCTTCATTACCATTGAATTGACAGTAAAAATGAAACATGTCACCTAATTGAAAAAATTAAACAGTATGAAAAGTTGCGCATCCATATATCTGCTTTTATTGTCAGATGGTAATCTGGAAACAGTTTAGGCAAAGATCATAAAAAATGCAATCAAAGAACAATGAAATTTTTTGAAAAAAGTTAAGTTAGCATCATACTGACCCTTGCAAAACCTTTCCTTAATTTTGAGGACACGGAGAATAATATTAGAAGGTCAATGCGAAGGAGAAAATTTTGGTTTTTTGGTTTTGGTTTCTATGCAAGCTAAACTTGACCATCTTTTACAAGAGTAATTACAAGAGTAAAGAGTATTTTTACCTGCTTGCTCTACAAAATATCTCAATTCTATAATTAAAAATGAAACTATCAAGAATTATTTATTCTATGTAATCATAACTAATACAACAAGCAACACCAGCTGATATTATACTTTGTTTAAACTTGAATTCTGAAAATTACAGGAGGAGGATATGGTAGACATATATACCATTAATATTACAAACCAATATTTCTACTTTAGGTTCTAAGGTTCTTTTTAATAAAGCCTGTTTTTTTTAGAATTCTATTACTTCTTTTACTACAATTTTATTCACTTCAATTACTTCACTTAATCTTAAACATACGTTGTTAAATGGTGAATTTCTTTATTATAGGAAGAAGCCAAAAATATTTAAACACCTTTTGGTGAGAACTATTTTCTGTAAAACTATTAATTTTAGGTAATTTGTTGGTAAGCATGTGTACCAATTTTAAAAAATGTAGCCAAAGGGATAAATTTTGAGAAGATTTGAGGCCAAGGCTATGATAGTGCAAGTGTAATAAGCATAAAGAAAAATTTAAATATTACTATTACTACTATTACTATTCTAGGGCAATTAAATTAAAACAATTAAAACAACATTTTTTGAACAAGTCAAATTTTCAACTTTTTTGAATTCAGTTTCTAATGGTGGTCAGAGCTGGCTTTACTATCACGGTAAGTAAATGGCATTAAACATAGATTTTGTTCACCAAGTGGTCAATCAAATTTCTGTATTGGTTTTACTAGCAATTAAAATAAGGAAGCTACACTTTTCAACAACAAAAAAAAGTTATAGGAGATTTTGCAAATAAAAAATTATGGGTCAATAAATTTGCTGAATGAAATGTTCCATCAGATACACTTTTCTTATTGGATATTAGTTAAAAATAAACACTTTTATTGTGAATTAAGGCTGTGTTATGATGTTATACTTAAAACAAAAATATTTCATATGAGAGTTTGTTAGCTGACAAAAGCTCACCATTTATTTTTTAAAGAATTTAGGAACTTACTGTTTAAAGAGCTTTTGTATAAAAAGCTTAGGGCCTATACACATTTTTTGCTCAAGGGTCCCTGAATCAGTTGCTATGTCACTGTGGTTAATCATATTTTATCATCACAAGCAATGTACAAATATTGCAATAAAAATATAGAAGGTATTCATTTCATTTATATATCATCAGAACCTCAACATTAGTGAGAAACACACTTAGGAACAATAAGACACTATAGACCATAGAACACATAGTAGGGTGCATCAAACGCCCCATACTTTCAAAATTTGATCTGTCCCTATTCTTAAAACAATCTGTTGGTTCTCACGAGACACTTTGTTAAATTTTTTCAAAATTGAATGAGATTTAGGGGGGCCACATAAAGTCTGAAACTTGCAACGAGACCCTAAACAGAAGAAAAAAAAGTTTTTCAAATGTATGTCATGTTGGGTCTCAAAAGAAGCGAAACTTTATAAAAATTTCAAAAATAGTTATGATTTTTTGTTAAAAATACCTTGAAAAAAAATTTCGACCAAAAACCATGAAAAAATGGCTTTTTTTAATTTTTTGCTAAAAAATAATTTTTATGCAATAAGACTTATAATAATAAGTATTATGTAAAATTTTTATTGTTTTTGAAATTTTTTTATAAAATTTCGATTCTTTTGAGACCCAAAATGACATGCATTTGAAAAACTTTTTTTTCTTCTGTTTAGGGTCTTGTCGCAAGTTTCAGATTTGAGGTGGCCCCCCTAAATCTCATTCAATTTTGAAAAAATTTAACAGAGAGTTAACTTGTTAACCAATAGAAACAATATTCTTGTGAGTACCAATAGAAAGTTTTAAGAATAAGGACAGATCAATTTTTGAATGTATGGGGCGTTTGATGCAACCTAACACATAGTTACCATAAGTTGCTAGAACACATAGTTACCTAAGTTTGTACCACTTGACTATTAAAAAGTAAAAAATATTTTTACTTTTTAATAGTCAATATACTTTTTAATGTCTTTTTAAAAGCATGCATCTTTTTTATTGATAAACTTTACTCAAATAGATTTTTATTTATGTGTTATTATGTGTCAAAAATGTTATGTTATTTTTTTACTTTGGGTTCATGTTATCTATATAATATTTTAAATGAAACATTTAAAAATAAATTGAAAAGCTCTATCCACAATGCAGACATAAATTGAAAACTTTGAAGAGAATTAGATGGAGTTAAAATTTATTGAAAATGATACAGAGAAAAAAGAAAATGATACAGAGAAAAAAGAAAATGATACAGTTAAAAAAGGAACTTGAAAATGTTCAGAATGTCACTGAACCCATTATTATTATTGAAGACAAATGCCTAGAAAAACAGACTGTAAATCTTTGGAATCAATGGAGTCCAAAATGATTTGGATGTCAAACAGTTTGGACATCCAAATCACTTTGAATTCCATTGATTCCAAAGATTAATCCACTGGGATTATTCTTTTTTCTTTGTGATAGCAGGAATAGAATCAAGGAATGAATTGAAAAAAAAGTTTATTGCAAATATTTCTGCTTCACCCTCAGAAGAAATAATAAGATCAAACCATTGAATCAGAGATGGAATGTTAGACTTGCCTTTTTAATGACATTGCTAAAGATACTTTTTAATGACATTGCTAAAGATACTTTTTAATGACATTGCTTAAAATATTTTTTAATAACATTGGTAAAGATATTTTTTTGACATAATAAAGAATTATTTATTTCAATAATTTTTAAAATTTATTGTCAGACACTAAGATTAATAGTTGACACCATTAGCTGGATCTTGTTTTGAGTTTAAAGCTGCTACCCATTTTTAAAAATTTTTTTATCTGAATCTCGTTTCTTCCTTTTTAATAAGATTATTTCAACAAAAATAATTGACAGATAACTTTTTATAACTTGCTGCTTAAGACAGTTTTGAGAGTTTGCTTCCTTAGCTACAAACTTAATGTCATTTTTTCATACCATTTTTGGAGTAGTGGCTTGTAGCCAAATCAGGCCAAAATATTGTGGGCATATTATGCTCTTTAACAAATGGCAAAAAATATTTCTTTAAGTGTTTTTTTATTTTCAAATTCGTGTTCAAAGTTTTAAGAGTCATGTATGGTGTACTTTTAAATCCATAGGAGCAGATTAGTTGCCCTATAAGGAACTTGGGAGAAAATTTCAAAAAGTTTGAATATACTCGAATTTTTTAACGACATATCTATCTTTCCAATAATAAAAATATGGTAATTACACACTAGATAATCAGTATTGAGTTATTTATTGTCTGGTCTTGGTGGGATACCTTACAGTATCAATACCGAGATCACGTGATACTGGTATCGAAAGTATCGGTTATTTTGGTATTGTTTGATATCGGTGAAATACCTTACAGAATGGATATTGCGATCAAGCAATACCGATATCGAAAGTATTGGTTATGTTGTTATCATTTGGTACCGATACTGATACCAGTAATATCATTTGGTACCGATACTGATACCAGTAATATCATTTGGTACCGATAC